TGGACTTCAATGGTCCCTTAGGACCTGGTTCAGATGACGGGTTTGAGCTGCGGCAGTGCTGCCTTGTGAAGGCGCTGCTGTCCCATGTCCTCCGGGTGCTCCTCCAGCACCACACACCTCCACGCTGGGATGCCAAGGGAATGGAAGCAGGTTTCAATATAAATATTTTATTTATTTCTACAGCTAGAAAGTGTTATGTCCGTCTGATTAACCTCAGATTGCTTCAGCAACTTTCCCTACTCCGTGGCAGACTATGATAAAGCAGAGAGCAGGATCTAGACCTAACTAGGCCATTTGCTCAGGGACTTTTTGGTCCTGGGCTCTGTGAACAAGTGAACATGGCTACAGCAGCCATTTCTGCCTCTCAGGGAAATCTTCCAAAGAAACCGAATATGTCTTCTCCCCTGAGCACATATCATGCCTATCAACAGAGATAAAGCTCATCTTGTAATAAGCACTACCTGTAGCTTTGCTACAAAGAGGGTTAAAGACAAGAGAGAGCATTTTCAGTCATCGTGGTCAGTGGGGCAAGGATGCCAAAAGAGCACGGCCATTGGGGACTTATTGCTAAGTTTAGAGGCCATCGGTTTGTGTGTGGTGACCAAGCTTTCCGCTCGACATGGAGATTTCTGTCTCTTATTGGGGCAGTTTCATGACTCTCTGGACGAGTGGTTGGGGAGCAGAGGGAGCAAAGAGTGGGAGATGAGTCTGCCTTTCGCAGAGGTGTCCTTGCTCTCCCCTGGGGTTTGAGTAAGAGCCATAGATTCTTTCATTAATTCTTGTCTGCTCTTGATTATCTTATTTCTTGCTTCCTGTTTTCCTAGCTGTCTGCTTTATTAAATCTTTCTATTCATCAAGTAGAAAGAAGGGCTAAGTCACGTCACTAACTGAGCATGTTAAAGCTACAGAGTTAGAACTTCAGTACAATTTACTCCAATAAAATTGCTTAAAACACAATATTTATATGGACTAAACACACTTACCTCAGCACAAGGTGAAGTTACATCCACAAATCTAAGGGCTGAATATCTGAAAGTTGTGCAAGAGACTAAGAAACCTTCTGCCACCCCAATCAGATCTCCTGAGCTTGTCACCTGACCCAGAGAAATGCAACATTTGCTTTAGAGACACAACCCTCTCTATAGAATAGGAAAAGAGCAAGCAGGGTTTGCTTCTGCCATGAATCTAAGAGCAAAAACCAGGGCTATACGGACCAGATACAGGCTTAAGGAAGGTCCCAATGTCCTGCCATCATAGTTTCAAGGCAACTGAAATTGTCAAATATTTATGGAGCTGCACTTGACATCTTGTTGCGAGGAAAACCAAAGTCAAGATTAACTAGACCGTGGAGTTAACAAGTGAATGCCGTAGAAGATAAACCCTAACTCCTTTCCCATGGGGAAAAATACACATCATCAAATGAAGATCCTTCCTACACCTCATTTCTTCAAATCAGCTCCCCACGTGTACATCTGCCTTGCAAGTCCACCCACATTGGCAACTCCTGACACCCTTCCCGTAGGTATGGGTGCAAAGCCAGAATCTCCTTGCCAAGCTGGTAACTCAGCTGTCTCAGACCACTGGATCCAGTCAAGGAAAAACAGAGCTTTCCTACTTACCCCCATGTCGCAACAGCCACCAACTCCTCAGAGAAAGACGAGCAGCAATTGTAGCAGCCAGAAATACATTGCAACCTGTGTTTACCAGCTGTAAAAATTGTCCTTCTGCAGAAGCAGACCTCTCTGTTTGGTACAATTTGAAATTCCTTAGAGCAGTAACATCACAGAAAGGATGGAAAGAGGCCGTTCCCCATGAGGCAGCACACAGAAAGCAAGGTCTTTCATTACTTCATAATACTGAAGGAAAAACACACTGCAGAAATAAGGAGGAAGGGGCAAAGCACTGAAATTTGAGCATATTATCTGTGAGTATATCACCATTTTCATCTCAGTGCCTACAGTATCTCAAAATCTGTGGAGTGGCTTTGTTTTGTCCCAGAGTTCCCCTTATTGCTTGAGACACAAGTGGAGCCTGCGTGGCCAGCAAACCCGAATTTAAAATGGTGTTTAAAATTTAATTAAAAATTTTAAATTTCCCTAAAACGGTGAAGAGATGTAGGCATAAGCTCATTTTTCACTGCTAACTATGGGAAAGACACAGGAGCTAACACTTCTGAGTGTTCTGTGGGCCTCCGTTTGAGATGAAGCCATCAGGAAAATCACAGGAGGACGGATTGTACCCTCCCCTGGCTATTTAAAAAGAGTGTCACTAAACCAGACAGATGCCGGCGCTGGGTCTCAGCAGGCACTAATTTAGCCCATACGGAGGGCTCTTACATCATTTGTTCTGCGCAGAACTTAATTGCAGAATTAATTATTTTCCTATCACACAAAACTGTATAAGAGGGGAGCCGTGGAATTTTGAGCCTGGCGGATGCTCAGTGGAATCTGAATAAACACAAACAACTCGGCCTCCTCCTCGTGCTGCCGAGGCAGAGCACCCATGGAAGCCCCGCGGTGGGAAACAGGCCAGCGCCAGCCACCAGGACGGTAGCGGCACGCGAGCTGGGTCTTGGTGCTCAGCACGGCGGCATGGCCACGCAACAGGGCCTGGCATGGGGACAAGGAGCAGGAAGTTGAGCCGTCACCCCGCCTGCCTGCTCCAGGGTCTGCTGCGGCCTTGGCTACTTCAGGCCAGGTGGTGACCAGCTTGCCTCTCCAGGCGAGTCCCCTATTTCTTCTCCTTTCTTTCCGTCTATCAGAATGGGATCAGACATAAACAAACCTAAACGCCACCCCGAATGCACAATTTTCCTTCAGACAGGCCACGCCAAACCACAGGCGGCAGCTGCTAGTCAGACAACTCAGAAACCTACCCCCGTACACGGTCAAAAATAAACCCAGGGTAACCAGTACGTTCAGTCATTCAAGAAGCTCAAAGGGCTGAGGAGGAGGCACAAAACCAGGTTAGTTTCTGCTTTAGTTATGACTAAAGTTGTGACTTCTTGTTTTGAAGACCTAAATGGAGACAAGCAAGCCCAAAATGTCTTGTTTTGAAGACCTCGAGTTCAGCGGTGAGGCCAGATGGGTTGCATCCTCAGATGATGACAGAGATGGAAAACAGGACAAAACATGTGGCCTCAGGAAGGGACAATTGGAGCCAGTCATGACAAAAAGCCATTGTCGCTGCAGAAATACCCCTCTTGACGAGAGGGGTCACATCAGGAAGAAAATAGGAGAAAAGAAGCAAGGCTATGGAGGACATTTCAGTCACCGTCCAAGGCAGCACAAGACAGTGATGAAGAGGAACTAGGGCACGTTTACAGCTGTGGGTACATGAGCACCATTGTCACAGCTGCCACTGGCCCATGAGGAAGAGCAGTCCATCAAAACAGAAGGGAAATGTCTTCCACTGGGAACCTGGGGGAGGGCTGGAGAGGCCAGCACCAGAGATCCAGCTGCCTCAAAAAACACCCACACAGAAAGGGCAAATTGGTCATCCTGGCATAAAGGTGCAGCAAGGAAACCTCACCTGAGTTAAATATGGGCACCAGATGTCAAGGTCCTGTTGCGGACTATGGGTCAACTTTGTGTGAAATCTGGCACGCATCAAGTCCCTACCGCTTGTGCTGTGCACGTCTGCTCAAGGATGGCCTTTGGGCAGCAACAAAGGCAAGCTCAGTTGTGTCAAAGTCTGTAAAAACACCAAGAAATTGCAGTCTTAGCTGCAAGCAGAAAAACTCAGTCCCTCACCATTAAGAAAGATACACAAGCCACTTCATATTTATCTAGTACATTTATAAAGTTCTGTGATGAAAGCATAAAGTATTGGCTACTTTAGTGCCTTTAAAAAAAAAAAAAAAAAACATAAACCACCACAACAAAACCTTCACAAAACTTTTGAGCTCTAACAAACGTGTATCAAATTATTTTCAATACCTCCTTTAAAGCCTCGGGCTTGTTAAGTACCCTGCAGTAGCCACTGGATGAGACAATATCTTCAAATTTTGCAGTATCTGACTTAATAAAAAAGATCTAGGGGGTGGCACTAACAGAAAGACATGCTATATTATGAAGGTTTTTATCCTCAAAGAGCAATCTGGCCCTTGGCATGCAACCACTGCCCTCAAGTGGTAGGACCTGTGCAAGGCCCTTTACCAAGCTGCACAGAGAGCTAAAATATTGCTCCTGTAAAACCCTGACCAGCACTGACCTTGCTGGGGGAATTGTGTGGGTTGTAAAGGCAGAAATATTTTATAAGGAAATTCATTGTTTGACTTGACTCTTTTTGCATCCTCTGAAAAAAAAACAATGTATGTTTAAAAGACGCAGTTAAACACAGTAGAAACAAACATTTCCTTAGAAAGTCTGAGCCTCTTTGGGAATACAACTGAGGAGGGAGAAAAACACAGAAGGAATTTCTGTAGACTTTGCTCATGTGTTTCCTGTGAACTCTTAAGGGCTTTGCCCATGCCCTGGGCATGGCATTTAGTTGTGCCTGGAAATCTTGCACTTGCCTAAAGAAAAATAAAGCGCTCACTGTTCCTCTTCCTGCTTGCTTAGCCAGGACTCCAGAAATGAGGCTTTGCGTTACCATTTGCCTCAAAGCACTGCCTGCATTTTATGGGGAGAATGCATCTCTCCAAGCATGAGCAGCACAGTGCATGGGCAAAGCACTTAAGAGTTCATAGGAAATACATGAAATACAGAGTTCCAACGTGGAGAGAAACGGGGATTCCTTGGTGTGGTTCTGTCCTGCTGCTTCTGCCTCTCTCCCACATTGCTCCCAGCGACACTGTCCCAGCCCAGACGCATGTGCTGGGCTCAGGAACTGCTGTTGCTTCTTTTCCTGCTTGGCATCCAGCCTAGAAGACAAAGTTCCCAACCAAAATAAGAGCAAGCAAGGACCAGGAAAAAAAGCTCTGACAATCCTGCCTGCATCCAGTGACTTTTCCAGGGCAACAGGGCTGGAAAGGTTGCTGCCTGCTGAGCTCTGAGATGAATAGAAATGATGGATACAGCACTGAAACAAGCAGAATTATAATGATCGCTAGCAAAGGATTAAAGTCCGTCCATCCTGCAGCAACTCCTTCCTCCTGCTCTGGTTAAAATCCCTCCCTAATTCCATGCCAGGGAAGAAAAGACAGCAGTCATACTCTGAGAATTTTGCTCTCCAACAGACTCTAGTCCTAGACACAGGTGTTATGTTCTGCAGACAGAGGATACAATTTTGCCGAAGGAAAAAGATTTTCTTGAATCACAAGGACTGAAGAGTGTTAATGCTCATCAAGTTCAAGCAGGAATGGAGGGAGCAGCCAGTAAACTCATTGAAGCCTCTTAATGTGGCATTTGCGGGCATTTCAGGTAACAGCATTTACTTCACTCTGGTTTAATGTGTCCGGGTGCACGTGCTTCTGAGGAGCCCATATCTGACCCTGGTGGGGGACCCCAGTCAGATTGCTCCCTAAATAAAGGCAAACCCAGTAGGTGGGTCAGGGAACGTGGTCCCTGTGGATGGGACGGGCAGCACGCGGGTCCCTGGCGTGGTGCACGCAGGGGAGCGTGTCCTGCTGTGCAGTGGGTGACAGGAAAGAGCAGAGGGAGCAGGAGGCTTCTCCTCAGCTTCTGCAGTGCTCGGGGGAACGAGTTACAGAGAATAGGGCGACTGTTACCAGAGAAACAAATTTGCCCATAGAGGTAGTTTCCTTTCTAGCCTTCCTATCGAGCAATTGACTTATGGCCAGGAGCAAGAGGAATTCATATCCTCCTTCAAAATAAAAGGCCCTGGAAGCACCCTGCTTTTAAGCATTGACCTAAGAGATATTTCATAGCCAAGAGTTCTTCTGGCTCATTTTGCTGTATATGAAGTGTCTCTCTCTACTGATTTTAAATGAGCCTCCCTCTCATTTTCAGTGGCTATACCCTCCTTCACATAAGCTGGGAACAGACACTGGAGAGGTGGGGGACCGGAATAGGGGTGCAGGGAAGCTACACAATGCATTACTGAAGTGAGCAGAGTTTGTGTTTCACTGTTGGGAAATAGAGACAGAAACCAGGCGGTGTGACACGTGTTGATTGACAATGTGAGTAGCAGCAATAGTCTGTTGTGATTCTATAAAAAGGAGAATGCTTTAACATCCAAGGTTTCCAAGAAGCATAAATTATAATCATCCGATCTGATCCTTCAAAACAAACTTCATCTTCAACAACTGCTAGATGATAAGAGTAAAGGAGAGAAGGTGCAGACCACGGCAGGAGAAGGGCTAATGTTTTGTTTGTATTTACTGAATTTCTTTCAGATTTCTGAATCAATCCCTTGCCACCTTGCCAGCCACTTATGGAAGAAGGGACCTCCAAACTCTTTGGCAGGATGAATAAGACCAGGGGATCCTTTGAGAGCCCAGAGCTTTGGAGCCCAGCTGATACCCAGAGCACCAGTGCTGCACCACCCTTTGCATTTGGCCAGCAGGCCACGGACACAGCCCTGAGTGCCATCCTTATTGTGGTCCTCTTCATCGTCATGGTCTCTTTGGGGTGCACGATGGAGATAAGCAAGATCACGACTCACCTCAGGAAACCCAAAGGGGTAGCAATTGCTGTAATGGCTCAATACGGTGTAATGCCCTTGACAGCATTTGCTTTGGGCAAGCTCTTCCAGCTAGGTGCTGTGGAATCCCTGGCCATCCTCATCTGTGGCTGCTGTCCGGGTGGAAACCTCTCCAACATCTTCAGCCTAGCACTGAAAGGAGATATGAACCTCAGGTAAGAAAAACTGAGCATATATGCACTTCCCAGGCAGGTATAGTTGTGTGATTGGTTCAAAATCTAGCTAAATAAAAATTCACAATCCCCAAAAAGCTAAAAAAAGATGGGAATGTTAAGTCTGGATTATTTTTAAAGCACACACTGCACAACAAATCAAATTGTTCCTGCTTTACAATAAAATGGTATTTATATCTTTCTATGAAGCATACAATATAAGTCATTGTTGATGACATGGGTCCCAGAGCACTTTTTCCACCTCCATCTAGCAGCACACATGCCTAATGTTACCTCACTTCTCCACCGTGCCAGTTATTGGTACGGCTGCAGAGCAGCTGCCTCTGCATGTAGACTAAAAGCGTTGTCTGAAGAAGCTGCAGCTGCAAAAAACGTAGAATTAGAAGAGGCCCTCGTTCCAACAACCCCAGCAATAGGCAGGCACAAGTGGTTTTGGCACTTGTGAATTTCTGAAATACAAGCTGTACCTGTAACAAAGGTCCTTTCTGAGCTTAAATTAGAACTTTTCTCACCCTGTCTCTATTTGTATCAAGTTCTTCTACAGCCTGATGGTAATGTTGAGGAAAGCTCAATGAGGACAGGCTGGAAAGAACAAGAAAGCTTTGGATTAAGATCTTGTGTCCAGGTTAGTAAGAAAATGAACATATTCCACAAAAGATGTTGTTATTTTACTGAAAGACTCTTTCTTCCTCTCAGCATTGTAATGACCACATGCTCAACAGTCCTGGCAATAGGACTAATGCCTCTGCTCCTTTACCTTTACTCGAGAGGACTATATGAGGGTGACCTGAAGAGCAAGGTGCCATACAAAGGAATAATCCTCTCCCTGGTCCTTATGCTCATCCCCTGTGCCATTGGCATCATCTTGAATGAGAAGAAACTGCAGTACACCAGCTTTGTCATCAAGGTAAGAAGTGTCCTGGGCTAGTACCCTATTTTACACCTAGCATTTAGACAGCAAAAGTGAAACCTAAACAGCCACGAGAACGTTGCCTGAGCCAACAGCTTCAACAGCAGTACCTAGAGAGCTGCTAACAACTTTACAAATGTGTTTTTCATAGTTTTTTTTCACCACGACTTCATCTCACTAGAGAAAATGGGACAAAGCTTTGCGTGCCAGAATCTGCACACCCGATAAAATGGTATGAGGAGTAACCAAGCCCTAAGAAGCGTGGGAGCCCAGGAGCCAAGCTAGAGCAGATGTAGGAGGACCATAGCACTTCACAAGATCTTTTACTAAGCACAAAGAAGAGATGACCAGATTTCTAAAAGAAGCATTAAAAGTCTAGAGCAAGAAGGCATCCTATACCATCCTGGCCAACCCTCGACCCTTTTTCCTTTCTGCTAACACCTTCTTGGTATTTCTCTTCTCCAGAAGGGGTGGGGGGAAGCTGCAGTAAATAAACAGCTGGGAGCTCCATCTGAACTGGACTCCAAAGCAGAGGGAGAGGAGTGAGTTACACATTCTGCCTCCCCAAATTGCCCGGGTGTTTCATCTGCTGAATCACCAGGCCCCAGCAAGATGCATGAAAATGCAGCTACCCCATTGCACACCTGCAGTGGGCAGGTTCTGCCTGTGAGGAGCACAGTTTCCTCCCCAGCTACTTTGGATGAAAGGCAGGTCATGCCAAGCACACAGTGTGTGATACACAGTCACTCCAACAAACAAGTAGCTGGTGGACCAAACACCAAAAAATACTAGGCAGTCATTCTGCACGTGTGCTAGGGAGGTTGTTTTTTAAGGTCTCTCTAAGTAGTACCTAAAGATCAGTAAGGAAGCTGAAACTTCTAACAGCCTTGTCAAGCGTCTGCTTGATTACTTGCTAACGGTTAGGACCATAAATGGCACCTATGCACCTCTGTGAATCTCCCTCTATATACTTACATATGTGATAGATGCAACTGGACACAGCTGCTTCCAACACCTGAGAGACATTCTGATGATTTTTGTCTTGTCTGTGTCTTGAACACTTCCATTTTAGACAGGGATGGCTGTGCTTCTCCTGTCATCTGTTGCAATAGTCACTCTGTCAGTCGTCAATGCTGGAAGCAGAATCACGGCCGTTTTCTCACCAGCACTCCTGGGATCTTCTGCCTTGATGCCTTTTATTGGATTCCTGCTGGGCTATGTTCTCTCTGCAGCCTTCAAGCTTAATGACCGGTACGTTTTAACACTCCCTCCTTGCCAGAAGAAATATAGAATAATGGGAGCTCTCGTGTGCAGAGTGATGGTGAACACTTTGGTTTCAACATGGAGTTACTTTCATAAAATGAGCACCGACTGCAGCGTCCCAAAATTGGCTCTATAAGCATGAGCAGATGTACTGCAAGCTGCAGTATTCCTGCACGGTGAGAGAAATGGATTCAGCCCCTGCTCCTGGCTTGGTTCAGCAGGGTGGGGAGGAGCTGGAGGAACCGTTCCTCGGAAGCGGGTACCTGGTCACCACAAGTTGGGCAAGTCCATTACGCATGCTCGCCGGACCAGCTGGGGATGGTTTTGACATAAGGTCACTAGTGTCCCCAGAAGTGTGCATTACCCGCCTCTGTGCTCAGCAAAGCGGGAGGAAAAGGCAGAGAACGAAGAGTGCCAAACAAAAGCAATAGAGAAAAAAAAATAGGGAATAACGATACAGATTGAACCTCAAGTTACAAAATAATTCCTCTGCTACTTACAGCAAACCTATCAATGCATTCACCCCAGAAATTCAAAACAGAAACCTTGAACCTGGCATATAAAACCCACTCCTTCCCTTTCTTATGCTGCCTAATTCAGATAACTCCCCTAGCCCTCACTATTTTCTATTCACTTTTTGTCATCATATATTAGACTCTCTGTTTTACCTCAGAATGAGGTTCCTTCCAGAGGAAGCAAAGCCCAGTGGAACATGGCACAGGGCCTCCAAAACCACTGTTAATTGGGAAGTCCACATTGGCAGTGCTGCCTCCACACATTACCAAGGAAGCACGGAGAGAATCTCCTTCCTAAGGTCCCCAATGTTGCTTCATGACAGAGCAACTTTCTGCACAGACAAATCCATGACATATCGCACAGCAAGGTGACTTCCTTAGAAATGGGTCAAATCCTTAACATGTGTCTTGTTTTACCTCTTCCTGCTGCAGAGGCAGGCGGACAGTGTGCATGGAAACTGGCTGCCAGAACGTCCAGCTTTGCTCCACTATACTCAAGGTCACCTTTGCCCCAGACATCATCGGTCATCTGTACTTCTTCCCGCTCCTCTACTTGATATTCCAGCTTGGAGAGGGCCTTCTGCTTATCCTGGTCTTCAGGATCCGTGATAGAATAACAAAACCAAATGGCAAGTGCACTTTTGTATCTCTAAAGTTCTCCATTCCCAGCCATATATGCATATAAGCAGTCTCCAGTGAATCACAGCTCTGTAGGGGGATGCTCTACTTTGATCCTCAGGAACGGCTTCAGTGCAAGGCAGATGATGTTGGAAACAGCCACAGAGGAGGCTCCTAAGCCTGTGGCAAAAAAAAGTGGCTTTCGAAGCAGATTCAAGAAATTATGGGAAACAGATTGACTTACTCAGATAAGATTTCAAGTTCCTTTTATCACCAGCAGTAACAAATCTTAGCTGTGTTACAAGCTTTCCGTAACCTAGTTTCAGAACTATGCATTCTCATTAGATATTTTTTTCCTGTAGATGCAGCAGAAGCAACCTGCACAGCTATCACCCAAGACACAGACATCACTCAAGAAATAAAACCAGTATCAGGACCCCGCAGAAACAGTGGGGAAACAGGAAAACAGTATAGAAATCCCGTGCACCAGCAGCTGCTGCAAGCCCCTCACGCTCTACCTTCTGCAGAAGGCTGGCAAGTCACCCCCAGTGCTGTGTAAGACCTGAACTGCCTGCTCATTTTAAACCAGAGGAAGGGTTCCCCACGCAGCTGCTCCCATCCTGCCCTCTGATCCCCCCCAGAGACCTTGTTCCTCTCACCACTGTCCCTCCCATGAGGGAGACCTCCTGGCTTCCAGGCTCAGGTGTGGAGTCATCCATGACAGGCTGCAGATCCTCCTTTCCTACTTTCCATTCGAGCTGGTTTAGCTCCCACTGCAGCATCTGCAGAGGCCAACGTCCCCTCCAGGCATCCCTGGCGCTGCTGGCACTTTCTGAGAGCTCGAGCACTGGCTGCTAGAGTGGTTTTTTTGGCAGAAACCAGTAACCTGCAGCAGTGTGCAGGGTTGGGGCCCAGCAAGCTGCACGTGAGCCCCAAATAGGCCCTGCTTTAAATCTGAGCCAGACAGCACGTATAGCTGCAGCGTATTTTCAGGACACCACCTTGTGGTTTCTGTTGTGCTGCAGAGAGGGCAGTGCTGGAGGGCTGGCAATAGACCTGCATGTTCACGCAAGTCTGCACTGTAACCTGAAGTAACAGACCTTGAAGAAGAAACAGGAGTGTAATGAGCAGCTACATTTAACAGAGCTTCTCACCAACAGCTGTAACCTCACGTACAGGTAGAGGTGGCACAGTATCATCTGCAGAATCAAGGTTTTTGACCAGCCAACACCAGCCTCAGCAGTGCAAAGCCAGACACAGCCCATCCAAAGTCAATCTTTTGGAGCAGAAAACACCCCAGGATGGTTTTTGTTCTGCTAACTATGAGTGAAGTGACGGAAAAACTACCCTTCTCCACTGATCAGGGGCTTTCATCCGTCTGGATTCCACCGGGAGCAAAGTCGCACTCACAACCACTTGAAATGCCACTTACCATTCAAGCAAGAGGGAGGGCAATTAAACCATTTTCTTACAGCTGGTAGATATGCAGATCCTCAGAAACATGGGCCTATTTTCTTCTGGCAAAGCTACAGAGAATACAGAATTATACAACACAGCACTGCTCCAATGATCTGATCTTGTAAATCAGGGTACTCTGGTACAACGTAAGCGAAGGGCAGCATCGAACATCCACAGGCAAGGCTTCCAAGACGCTCACGTCTCAGATTCCTTTGTTATACTTGGAAATGGTGTTTATACTTGCCCTGTTCAACCTAATAAATCATCCTACATCGATGAATACGGAGCAAATTTCAATCCCCTAGGTGAACAATCACTTTGAACACTGAAATGAGTCAATTCAAGTATGACGTGCACTGCATACACGCACCCAAAATTGTTCTGGGAAAAAAAGGAGTGGGATCAGGCTGAGCCAAAAGCCTCCAGTCTTCCATAAGCAGGTAGCACAGTGCCCTTAGGAAGTCTCCTTCTCTCTTCCCCTCCATAATGATCAGCACTGCCCTTCCGAGAGGCAGGGCAAATTCATTCCTTGGAATTCCTTGAAATTTCCATACTACCCGGACTGTCTGGAGACGGCTGCAAGTGCTTACAAACCTGGGTTCTGGGTTTAAGGATCTGGAAAAAGAGTAGCAGGCAGGAACTGGCATTGAGGGGACGCTGGAAGAATTACAAGCAGCGCCTCTGCAGGGAGGGTGGAGGGGAAAACAGAGGTGAGCACAGCCGTCGACAGGGCAGTGATCAGAAAGCACCAGCACGGCTGCCTTCACCTGTTAACATTATAGGCTTATCCTCTTATCCTTATTGATCTGGTTCTCCAAAGACAATAAAATTCAGCTTTTTAGTGGGATGTATTTAAAAGCAGTCTTTCCTCCCACCCCCTCCACAGCACTCAACAACTTTACCATAGCTCTTAACAGACCTTCTACCACCGCCTAAAAGGAAGGGGCGCAGTTATAAAGAATACAACAGGTCCAGACAGGTTTTTTTCTTTGTATTTTATTTGAGCTATTTAATTCTAAAATAGCAAGAAGTAGGGTACTTTATAGAATACTATTACCACAGGGCAGTGAAATGGGTATTTTCTTAGTGTAGTGCAATTCATGTTAAATGAAAAGCTTTCAAAATAAAGTTTTATTACCAGTACTGATCAGCACTTAATCTGCTGACCTATTACTGAAACAATGGTTTCCAAAGCACAAAAAAATACCCTCTGAAATAAAGCTTTATGTACAGCACACGTAGAGCTCTTAGATGCCTACAGCTATTAGTTTAATCTGAGATATTAAACTAATAACCTGAATTGCTATTCACAGTTGAATATACCGGGAATTAAGTGTTTAAGTAACTTGTTGTGTTTGAGTACAAAAAAAAATGTCTGCTTTAGTTATAAAGAGCTCTGCCAATATACACAAACTATACACTTCAGACATTCACAAAAATGTGAGCAAGAAAGAGGTTATCAAAAAACATTTAATACAATTAGTCAGTAACCCTCCCTCCCCATGGTCCACATCTACAAAGTTCCCCCTCCCACCCTCCCTGTCCAAACCCTTCCCCCCAGAAAGTCACATACTTACCACAAGTTTTAGCAAGTATGGTTTAAAAAAGGGCCCCCGGGGCAAGTTACTTATAGTTCAGTTGCCACTGTCAACAGATCTGGACCTCGATCGAGACCTCTGCCGATCCACAGACGCTGGGGATTTGGATCTACTGGAAGAGCCCCGTTTATGGCTCTTTACTGGAGATCTACTAACTGATCGAGACTTGCTACGGCTCCTACTCCTCGACCTGCTGTAAGACTTGCGGCTTCGGGAACGGGAGCGGCTACGAGACCTGGAGGAACTTCTGCTACGGGATCGTGACCTGCTCCTGGACCTACTGAGGAAAGGAGGAGCCCCCGTGTTAGCAGTGAAGCAGCGCGGGCCGCCTCAACAACCAGACAGCTCACTGCTCCCAGTGCGCCTGCTCTGGCCACTGATTGCAGAGCTTTCTTCTCCGAGTTACTTTGGCATTATTACGCAGACTAGAACTACATACCTGTATCTTTTGCTGCTGCCTTCAATTAATTTGATTTTCCTTCCATTAATTTCTTTACCAGAAAGCTTTTCAATAGCATTCTTTAAATCACTGTAAGAGGCGAATTCAACCACCCTAGAGCAATTGAACAAGGAAAGGAAATAGCTCACTGTTACAAGCATCCTTTCTGATGACAGAGCACAACAGACCCCGGGGGAGCAAGCAGACAACCCACTCTCCCTGCATGCACACCACACTGGTTGGAGCAGCCATCCCATGTCATAAACTGCACCATGTATTCCAGCATTTCCTTCCCCAAATGCCAAAGAATAGAGTTTCAGGAGACAGCTTAATTAAACCATCAGTCACTGCCGAGAACTAAAATTAGACGTTTCTCAGCTGTTTATGTAATACACGCAAGTGTTACTCAGCAGCTTATGCGAGGATTTTAGATTTTAGCTTACCCTTCATTTAACTTAGGCCTGTGTGCATCTGCAAAGGTTACTTCCCCAGCTTGTCTCATGAAGTCTTTGAGATCCTAACACAAGACCAGTTATGTTATGCAAGGAAGTGAAATTGTTTTTATATGTATACACACACACACATATACATATGCACCCACTCATATTATCTATATAAAAGTAAGTTTTAAAAAGCTAAATAAAATTATGACTACTGAAAGAGAAGATGTTAGGTAAGTTACAAACATGGCAATTGCCATACTTGTATTCTATTGAAAGTGAATTATATTTATCAGGGCACGAGATAAATGGGGGAGGGGAAAGAAAGCATATTGCTTTAGGCAAAATGCAAATAAATCTCATTTAATGTTAAGGAAAATATCAGTCTACTAAGATCCTAACTGCTAGATATAAAATACATTCCTATCTACATACTGGACTGACTGCAAAACACCACCCATACATTTTTGTCCTGCGTGACTCTCCCTTTACATTACAGGATCGATATATAATCTACATCTACACACATATGCAAAATTACATTTACGTAACAATTATTTTGTGCCCCATAGGTCATTAAAAATATGGTTTACGTTACCTTCATTAACATATCCCTAGGCTAGCCAAGCAGCAAAGTGCATTAAGCGACCGGAGATACCGTCCTGATTTACGCCCGACTGGCTCTTCGCCACCCACTGGACGACCACTACCCAGTCGATGGAAGCCAATAATCGCACGGCCCTCCCCATCAGGAGACCACTGACGGATCCAGACATTTTCAATGCTTGAGGTTACCAAGGACCACGTTACTGCGATCAGGATTCCAACGACCACCTAATTTCGTATCTTTCAACTCTTTTCGACCGGGATCTCTTATTCGGAAGCGTTACAGGAAGAACGGCTCTCAACTTAGGAATCAGATCTCGTTAAGGCTCGGGCATCGCTGCAATGTGGCACTTTAAGGAGTGCATCGATAACGTCTAGACCGGCAAACACAGATCTAGAGGTGGCCAACTGACAGTGGAGGAGCTGACTGGAAAGTCAACCAGGCCCAACCAAGAGTGACCAAGACAGAACGATTAGGATAACCCACAGGCACTCCTCGTCATAAGGCCAACGACACAGATAGGCTGGCAAATAAAGGGTTTAATATGTGGTTAAAATTGATTTAAAAAACAAGAAAAAAATAAATATATTTCCTCTAATATATGCATTTATTACTTTAAATTAAATTTAACTAGATTTCATTGAAAATATTTAAGTTACATTAACATTACATTAATTACATAAACATTTGTAATAAATTAAATTTAACTTTTATTAATAATTTACAAAATTATTACATTACATACCCATTAAATGAAGTCAAAATAGTAATCGTGTGTAAACAAACCTGCCAGCTGACTCTGGAAGACAAATTTTCCACTATGAGGCGATTTTCTGTTCTTAGAGGTGGAGCACTTCTGTCCAGGAAAAAAAATAAAATAAAATAAAATAAAATAAAATAAAATAAAATAAAATAAAATAAAATAAAATAAAATAAAATAAAATAAAATAAAATAAAATAAAATAAAATAAAATAAAATAAAATAAAATAAAATAAAATAAAATAAAATAAAATAAAATAAAATAACTGAGACTTTCAGTTGTAATTAAAATGTAACTGTATTTCAGTACCAGTAGAATCTACTAATAACTACATTTACATTTAGCATTACAGATCAACCAGTAACACTTCCAGTAGTGTATGACAGGCATTAAGCAATTGATGAGATCAATAATAATAATAATAATAAAATGGTGTAATTAGTGGGAAAATCCCAAAAGAAGAGACGAGCAGATCTAAGAAGCTCCGTAATTCTCACTATCCTATTTTACTGTCATGTCAAATGTGAGAATAAAAAAGACCAAATCACCCCTCCTGGCATCCCTGTCTAGCCCAAGCTGTCCATTCGAGGGGAATGGTTTATCTCCCCCCTACACCAGCTGTGTTACACTCACCTCCTGTCACTACGTGGTCGCCGGCTACTATAACGGTCAGAGTACCTCCCTCTGCCTCTACCCCTAGAGCGTGCCCTTGCATGCTCAATTGTAACCCTGCAGAGGAGGGAGGAAAAAAGAGAGAGAGAGAAAAAGGAAGTTATGCACCTACATCCTTCTTTTAACATCCTCTGATAATCATTTAGGAGCTCGCTCAGTGCTATCGATAACAAAATGCAACTTGAAATGGACTTTCTTATTTTATATAGGGTTAAAATAACGGTATTTTATTATTTTGTTATTGCTTTAACTCTTGTTTTCTATCTAAGCAACAGGGCAAGTGGGGTAGAGCTTACCTCTCACTGCAAAGCTCTTTTCCATCGAGTTCATAGACAGCATCGTCTGCATCCCTTGGATCTTCAAATTCCTGCAAAATCACCATGGGGGGGGGGGGGAAAAACCCTTTAAAACACTAGTGCATAAATATAAACAAAATACGGAGAGGAAAAACGTCCGATTTGCTACATGCTATTTAAGCAATCGAGCAGGCAGGCAGACACGCACTCACCACGAAGCCGAAGCCCCTCTTGAGGTCGATGTCGCGGATGCGGCCGTAGCCCTTGAAGAACCTCTCCACGTCCTTCTCCCTGGCGGCCGGGTTGAGCCTCCCGATGAAGACGCGGCAGCCGCTCATGGCGCTCGCTGCGGGAGACGCGCCCGGCCCCGCCGCCCTGACTCAGCACCGCCGCACTGCGCCGCGGGACCCGCCCCCGCCAACCCACCAATCGCAGCGCCCGCAGCCGCCGCCCGCCCCTCGCGGCGCCAATGGGAAGCGGCCGCGGCCCCGCCCCTCGCGGAGGGGCGGCAGCGCATGCGCGCTACCCGCGGGCAGCGGGGAAGAGAGGCGAACGCCATCGCCCTGACATAAAATGGCGGCGGCGCCCGCTACGGGCGACGTAAACACGGGCAGCCGTTAGCGCCGGCGGCCGCCCGGGCCTTGCCCGCCTCCGCAGGCGCCCGGGCCGGGCCGCGCAGCGCCCGTCACGCACCTGTGCTGCGGCGGTGT